AAAATGCACTGATTAATATTTAAGAGAAAGTAAGTTAGAGATTTTAACTACAAGGGCAAGTGTCTGTCCAGAGAGTCTTTTCATGTGGAGGCTAGAAGAGAGGGAGAGCTGCGCTTTCAGGGACTTTAGTGAAACTCGTGGCTGTCAGACTGACTGCCTGAGCTGCCGGTGTGTGGGGCCACGCTGGCCTCCACCACCCTGCCCCTCGCTCTTACTCATGCTGAGACGATGCGCCCACCTCTGATAAAACCCCAGTGCCAGCGCAGCGTTTTGGAATGGGACTGGTGAACACACCCCACGCACTTTAGCAAGCAGAGGGACATGCTCAGAGCAGCTCAGGTTGCGTGCTCGCTCGGGGCAGAGCTTTTCCAAAACCCAGACCTTACCACCCCAGACCAGGACTTGCTAAGCGCACCCTGGCTACTCCTCATGCTCCCCTCAGCGTGCCAGCACCATCCCTGCTCTAGGGCCGACCTCTCGTCGGCACAGCACCGGGATGGGCAGGATACCTTCTCCCCATTTTGCAGATGGGGAGACTGAGAGCTCAAGGCAGCAACCACCATTGCCCCCCTGAACCCAAATGTCCTTATAACGGCATCTCGGCAGGACGCTGCCTCTGGCCACCTGCAAGCAGAGTCTGTTATAACACATCAAAAAAGGAGGGAAACACTTACATGGGTGCAGAATCTCTCCGGTGGGTCCCCACAAGTGATTCCTGCCGGATCCACCCGTACTGTCACATAATCCTTCATCCGCATGGCCTTGGGTTGACAAGCGTAAAACTCCCATGACGGGCCATCGTCCGTGGTCACCCAGGACTTGCAAATGTCATACTGTCCCATGGCCAAGGGGAGACAGTGCAAGAGGAGAGCAACCAGGTAGAGCATGGCAGCTGCGGCCAAGCGTGGGATCCCTGGGCGAGGGCAGTGCCGAGAGTCCCGAGGAAGGCAGCTACTGGGCTAGGGGTTGCTCTCGGGATCAGCATGGAAACTCCTCATCTAAAAATGATCCAGTCTAAGGAGATCCAGACAGTAACAGGAACGATCCCACTCTGCACGCTGTATTTGGATGTGGAAAGTTTCTCTCGGCACAGAAGCCAACTTTGCAAATCACTTGATGGGGAAAGTTTTGGCCAGAGTTGCTGATCAGTGGTCAAAAGTCTTCCTTAACCTCATTTTTTTCCCCCTTTTTATTGTATGAAAGGGCTTCCAAATCAGCATGAAAATATCTAGAGGTGACTCCAGTCAATCAATAGAAAGATCAAGTTCTGAGTTGCTGATGAAATTTGATAGGAGTAAACTGGAGAGGCTGCGAGATGGTGCTGGATCAGGTTTTCCTCAACCTTCTTGTCTGCCGCAAATGCGTCGCTCTGGAAAGTGCCTTAAACTGTGGTCTGCCTTAAATAATTATTGGGGCTTTTGAACATTAATACATAAAATAAATAGAGCATCTGTTCATCAGTACAACTCTGACGAGAGACTCTTTGGAGCCAAAATTCCTTTCTCCCAAAGGATGGTTGTGTCAGCATAAACACGTTGGGTGGCAAGATCCGCAGTGGTCCCAGCAGGATGCTGGGTGGTCAGTGGGTTGACAGGAGCGGCTCTGGCCTTGCTGCTTCTCCCTCTGTGTCTTGCAGGGGCAGCGAGGCACTCGCAGGCAAGGATTTCTGTCTGACTCTGCCTTTTGGCAACTGAGCATCAAGTTCCCCAAGCCTTCAGCTGCAAGCCATGCTGCTACCTGAGGTCTCCTCTCTCTTTCATGGTCAGGGCAACAGGAGAGTTCATTAGCAGGCTGCACCTGCAACAAATCGAAAGACAAATTAGTTGGGAGCAAGGGGGGGGCAGTTGGAGCAACAAGACTTGTAGGAACAGGGGTCCCCCAGGAGACACAGCCCTCTGCTCGGCTTCCCAAGCCACAAGCCAGGCTTTTGTAAAAGGGAGATATACAGCTTTAATAAAAAGAAATCCATAGTAAGATGCTTATGGCTCCTCTGCTGTTTTGGAGATGGGGAGGAGCGCTGCCCTCTTTAAGGTATCTGGTTTGTAACAGCAGCAGGACAATGAGAGCTCTAATGGGTCTTCAAATAGTATCAAGAAGCAGCTATAGGTCATTAGAAGACAGAGAATATGCAGACACAGAGCAGGGACAGACAGACAAATTGATAGTCTTAAAAAGATAAGCAAATAAATAAGACAGCTGGGGAGACAGATACATTGTTCAGCATCCCCACGTATGATTTATCTGAACAATAACATTTAATAAAAACCAATTTAAAGTCCTAATAACATTTAAGGTTCACCTAATACAAACAACAGTGACCTTCCCAGTATTCATTTCAGGTTAGAGCAACATTTCTGCAATTTTGTCATCTTTCCAGTAGAGCTATAAAAACCTTAAGTAATTACAAAACAAAATGACAAAGAACTGGGAAAAGAAAAGAAGTCAAACCCTCTCGCAGCATTAGACCCAGGAGGGAGATCTCATAAGAGAAGGTGGGAGGCACGTATCCAGAAGAGAAATTTAGCTCTGGATAATTCCCTTTCTATTTGATTCCCCAACTTTTCTTCCACAATTTCGGGATGTCTGCTTCAACAGCCTGTTTAGTATTTGCTTTCTCATAAAGCTCAGTTACTAAAGCTCAGAAACTCCAGGTTAACAGATGCATTGATTCACATTGCTGTGCTACCGTCTCCCTTTCCCCCCTTTTTGGTTGAAAGATTGCTGATGGAGATGAATGAGTTCAGAAAAGAGAAGCTATCTCTCATGCTTCATCGCCAGCTCTCGAAGAAGAGCCTATTATAGCTGTGTTGGACCTGAATAAACTCCCAAAGAAAGAATAGACTGGCTGCTATTTTTATATTATGAGTAAATGTAGTAAAAATAATAAACCGGTGTGACACAGTGTTTGTAAGTCCCGCTGACATCAGAGCTGCCTTTTCAGTTATAACAAGTCAGTTCCTAATTATTACATCGAGCTGGTCGCGGCCAAGTGCCTAATAACAGCAGAGAACGTGAGACTCCAGTATTGTACAGAAAACAAGCAGGGTAGTTTTAATGAGGAGTCCAGTGCTGCTAAGTTTATGGATCTATTTTCATAGCCTTAACAATTGTATCTTGCACTTGAATGGCTGTCAGGGAAAAACCCAGGAAGAAAGGATCTATAATATCTATTAGCTTCTTGTTATGCTTGCTAAATGTCATAGATTCCCAGGGAAATAAAAATTTGCCGGAAAAATGTATTTACTGTCAGTCACTCAGCCAGGCGTGCTGGTTCCCCGCGAAGTCTGCGGTGCAACACTTAGCCCGTACGGTCCCTTTGCAGAAACAGTTGCAGAACGTTGCTCTGAAATAAGCCAGCATACCGCAAACGGGGGGGAGAGACTCTCCGAATTAAAGGTTTTGCCCTGCTTGATTTGGTTTGATCCTTAGAAAATAAATCCTCACCTGATATTATTAAGAAACTGCAGTTCATGGGAACAAATAGAACCAATGCTCTTTGTTTTCTTTGAAGAGTGCTCAGCAATCACTGGGGGCTGACAGCCAGAGTATTAAACCGACAAAATTAGATTGTATCTCGACTTAGCTGGTTCCTTTTTTATTATTATTGGATTAACACCCTATTGAAATAAAGAGGCAACACTGAGCAACAACTGAGCTGCTCTGGAATTAAGAACAGAAAGTAAACTCAGTGAAGGAGGTTT